TCTTTCCCTTCACCTTGAGGAAAGTTTGGCTTTGTGCTAAGGTGTGAAAAAAAAAAAAAAGAAGAAGCCTTGCCTGTAGTATGTAAGGAATATTTCAGCTCGATTTGTGTCAACCCTAATAAGTAAGTTGACAGAATAATAAATTGGGTGTCTGCTCAAGACCTGGCACCTGTACAGGAAATAAAGTATTTCAATTACAGGCAGGTTGTTTTTGTTTTACACATGGAGGTTTTCCAGGGACCCTCTTTCTATTATTGAAGTTTTGTTATCTGAAAGCCTATTTCACTTGTCACTAGAAAACTGACAAGAAAGACAGCAACTTTAAAAAGAGATACTGAACTGGTGGGACATTGATGAGGCAGGTGGCTGTATTTGCCCTCTTCACCAATGTGTCCTCCCTTTCTTGTGCTGTGCCTGGAACCTAGCAGGCACTTAATATGAATTTTTTGAATGATTGAATGAATCCATGAATTGACCTGCTTTGACACCATGTAGTAAAGCGGATATTAAAAAAAATAGATTATTTCAACTTTCTATTGCATTTTCCTAAGTTTTAATTTTTTCTTTCTAGATCAGTCTTTTTCAGGGTTATCAATTGGGACAGTTTTGCCCCTGGGAGACATTTGGACATTTTGTTGTCACACCTGGGTGGAGGGCTGTGCTACTGGCATCTAGTGGGCAGAGGCCAGGGATGCTGCTAAAGCACCTACAATGCACAGGATAGGCCCGCACAACAAAGAATCATCTGGCCCAAATAGCAGCAGTGTCAAACTTTAGAATTTCTGTTTTAGAAAAATTAAGTAATAATAAATTGTAATCATATAAAATTGATGTTATTCACCATTTTTTTCCCTAAAACTTGAATTTTATGTGGTTAATCCTCTACTAATGAGTACTAAGGAGCAATTATAAGGTTTCATAATTTGGGTAATAGTTTTCACAGGACAGACCCCTACTACAAAGAATTATCTTGTCCAAATGTCAGTAATGACACTGTTCAGAAGCCTTAGTCTAGATGTATAAGAATTACCAACCAAGCTAACATGCTTTAAAATAAAATTTGTTCTATTCCCCCTACCCTGATAAATAACCTGGATGACAAATTGGAAGACACATTTCAAATTTCAAGTTCTTGGATTCCTCAGAGTTCCAGAACAGGGTGAAAGCCCCTGGCCCATGGCCTGTGCTGTCTCATGAGGGACCTCACACACCTGTGTGTGCACACCCCAGACTGCTCGTCCCAGCTCTGTCTACACGTCCAAAGAAGCCACTTTTGTCTACCTTGTCATGTTGAGGACTTTACACACATGCATAGGTGGACCCTCTGGAGGCCTAGACCAGGAAAGAGGCCCATGCAGTCCTGAAAGCAGGCTCAGGGCCACTTGACAGGGGATTCTGGAGTATCCAGGGCATTGCCTGAGTTGTGACAGGGGTGCTGGGTAGGTAGTCTCCTTGGATCAAGGACTCACACTTAAGGACAAAATTGCTCTTTCCAACCATATAATTGTTGGAGGAGGTCGTGGAGAGGATGCAACCCTGGTTGACCTATAAGCTGGACTTTACTTCCCCTTCCCCTTTCCCTTACTCTCTCCCCTGTCCATGGAATGTAAGTTCCACCTACAGTCCCGTGCTAACAGCTGTTTCAGGGATGCAGCCTGGAGAGAGTAAGGTGTTGTTGAGACCATCTGGACTGAATAAGTGACTTGAACCCAGTTAAGACCTTTCTAGAAAATTTTAACATTCTGGAGTGAGAGTATGGACATTTACATGTCTTGCAGCCACCAAAGACAAACCTCCTCTCTAAGTTCCTTGTTTGTTAAAACTGCCACTTCCCAGTCTGGAGTGTTCTGTCTCTTTCTTTAGTTTCTTCTTACCCTCCGTGTATGGGGACCAATTTACAAACCTAGAGTAATCTTAAATTGAAAACTGAGTTTTAAGATCTGATGATGTGTCATCCTTTTTCAAAGTGTAGGTATTTGGCATTTCTATTAGTTACTTATATTAATGCCGTTGTGAAGAAGCCTAGTGTTTTATGTTACTGATTAAATAATAACTTGAAGGATTCAAAATGTGAGACAATTTTAATGTTATTAAGTCACAGTTAAAGTCATATCATAACTAACGTCAACATTAGATTAAAAGTAAACATCCGGGTCTCCAACAAAACCAGTAACATGCTAATTCATAGACGCTGACTATGTAAAGGGAAATACTAGTAAAATAATGAATTTTAACAATAAACTAATGAGCTGCTTCTTTGACTTTTATTTAAAGTTAGAATATTTCAGAACTTTCTCACTTGTTCATGGTTTATAAATAAATCTTTATTAGGTAGAATAATTCATTTTACATATGAGTGAAAAATATTAATGAAAAAGTTCAGTCATATCTGTAAAAGTGATAAAAGGAATGATTATCTTGAGTCTGATCCTAAATTTGATCACAGGAAATTTAAAAGGAAAAATACTACTCTTTATAAAATTGAAGTATATTTTTAAAATTTCTTGACATAAGAAATTACAGAAGTTTGGTAGAATATGTGGTAAGAGATAAGCTGTTTGGGTTTTAAAAACAATTGTTTATTTCTAGGGAAAAATTATTCCCTTATATTTTGAGATCCATAGTTTATATTACTATAAGAAATACTGATATGCTATGAGAATCCAATTTGTAGTCTTAAGGGTAATATCTAGAAAACATAGAATGTGTGTGTGTGTGTGTGTGTGTGTGTGTGTGTGTGTGTGTGAAAGAGAGGAGGGACTAGACAGGAAGAGAGAGAATAGAGTCAGTCAGAAGCAACTTTAAATCTAAAGGTAAACTTTATGGGATTAATATATTTTAAGGCAGTAGTCATTTTGCAGTCCCTTAAAAAAATATGCTATTTATAATTTTCTGCTTTTTACATTTCCTTTAAAAAGCACCCTTCTTGTGTTCTTTACTAAGATTTAGAAATGACAGTCACAGAAAATAAGTCATAGTTTTGTCATTTTTATGTTATATGGTTTCCATGAAAAGTATTTTTAAGAGACATATAAAGGGAACTTCCTAAATTCCATGAAATAGGGGAATAGTTGACATCCATGATGCCTATGAAACAAAAGGAAACATCACGTGAATCATTTTGATACCAAGGAAATTGAGCCTCTTCAAAGGTATGATAGAGCAGTAAGAAGCCAAGAGAAAGGGGGAAAGGGTTTTATTTTTATGTATGAACATATTAATTTTTAAATATTATCTAAAATGTTTTAGCATAATTTTACATCTAAAATATAGTATAATCATTGCTTATACATTGTATCTTTCCAGTTGGTTTTCCAGGAGCATTGAACTGACCAGTTACATTTATATCTGGGAGAACTACAGGCTTATCAGTTTGCCTTGGGATTCTCCATGGACTTGGTATTTAACTTTCTTGGGAGTTGACTTTGGTTACTACTGGTTTCATCGTATGGCTCATGGTAAGTTGCAAACCAAGACTTTTTTGATACTCAACTTATGTTGAACTGTGTTTGCCACATAGCTGGTATTCAGTAAATATTTATTGAACAAGTGACTAGATGAATAACAGTTTATTTTACAGCATCTAAAGATTAATAATGAAAGTTCATTTGTAATTTAAATGGAAACAATCTGAAGTCATTGTTGAAAAAAAGTGAAGTTATAGAGGTACATTTTTCACACCCCCTGTATATAATTTATTTTTAAAACCATTTAGAAAGTGTTGACTATAGCATCACTTCACACCCCAATTATCAAGGGTCTTTCAGAAGAGCTTTGTAACAGCATGGAATCCTAGGTAACCTGCTGTCATATGTAAGCCTGATTCATGTTCTTGGCAGTATTGCCATATTTACAAATGAAAATGCAATCAGCTAGGCATTAGCCATAATGCACTTTAGTGTGACCACAGCTTTGCAAAATTTCTCATCTGCTACAAAGCCTTCTTACGGTACTGGTTCACTGAACTTGCTTTTGGGGATTCTTGGCCACACCTTCCAAAGAAATGTTTTGTTATGGAATGGAAAATGGAAGAGCATGGAGCTGTCTAAATCTCTCGTGAGATAAGCAGAAATTGGGGAATGATTGTAGAGCTAAGATGAACAAGTGGTCTCTAAGGAGGAATTAGGCATGCAAAATATTGCTGAAGGGAAACGGAGGAAAGTGCTAATTTGGAAAAACTACTGAAGAGCAGAACTCAGGATTTCAGTGGGTAGTTGGGTTGAGTGGGTGGGGAGGAAGGAAGGAAGAGGAAGAAACCTGGAATAATAATAAAAAATAGATGGGAGGTGGAAAGAAGAGCTCTGAGATCAGGGTGAATAACTGAGCTATGTGTGTAGGAGTATGTGTGACCAAATATCCTTCCCAAGCAAGGATGAAGGAAATAGGAGTAGCATGGACAGCGTTATGCTTAAGGCAGTTAAACTTTAAACATGGCATTATTTTGTTAAGCACTTTAAACATGTACATTTAATGAGACTATAAAAAGTGTTAATTCATTAAAAAATTTGTAGTGAACAGATAAACTAGAAAAAGTTATTTATTTTGTGTGTGATAACCTTTGTCTTTGAAAATAACAGGTCAGCTCCTTACATCATTTCCTTATATATAAATGTAAGAGGATACTCCCAAATTGAACATGATTAAGAATAAAATAGGGTTGATGTGGTAAACTTGGTATTTTATTTCAAAATAGTAGTTTTCTCCCTAAAATAAACCCATTGGCAATTTTCCTCACTTTCTATGCAGCAAATGGGTAATGCAGAAAGCATTTACATTGTATTACTTAACTTCAGGAACCTTCTAATATCACACTGTCCTGTATAGATGTGTGTGTTTGGAAAATCTGCTAATTTGCTTAATATTTGAAAGCCCATTATAACAGGAAACAAAGAACCAACAGAATATTACCAAATATAAAACTTTAAAAAATATGTTGATTGTAAGTGCTCTCAGGGAATAGCAATAAAGTAAAATAATATATTAAAAACATGGAATCAAGGCTGTTTAAAGTATGCTTCCCATTAGAAAATATTGAACCAAGTCCAGTAAAGGCAGGCACTAAAAAATTCTGAAAACCTTCTGGAAAAACACTCACCGCTTTCAGGCTATGAAGCTTACTCATAAGTTCAAAGACGTTTGACTTGTGATGGAAAGCTAGTTGGAAAAAAATGATATTTCACTGTGCAAATATATAACATAGTTATAGACTATATTCCCCACACTGTACATTTCATACCCATGGCTCATTTATTTGAATCTGGAAGTTTGTACCTCTTAATCTCCTTCACCTACTTTCCTCCCCACCACCCCCATCCCCTCACAACCACCTGTTTGTTCTCTGTATCTATAACTCTGTTTCTGTTTTGTTATGTTTGTTTATTTGTTTTGTTTTTTTAGATTTCACATATAAGTGAAATAATACAGTATTTGCCTTTCTCTGTCTGACTTATTTCACTTAGCATAATACCCTCTAGGTCCATCCATGTTGTCACAAATTGTAAGATTTCATTCTTTTTTTATGGCTGAGTAATATTCCATTATATATATATATATATATATATATATACACACCACCTCTTCTTTATCCATTCATCTATGATGGGTGTTTAAGTTTCTTCCATTTCTTGGCTATTGTAAATTATGTTGCAATGAACATAGGGATGCATATATCTTTTCTAAGTACTGTTTTTGTTTTCTTTGGGTAAGTACCCGGGTGTGGAATTGCTGGATTGTATGGTAGTTTTATTTTTAATTTTTTGAGGAATCTCCATGTTGTTTTCCATATTGGCTGTACCAATTTATGTTCCTGCCAACCGTGCACAAGGGTTCCTCTTTTTTCACATCTTAGGTAACACTCCTTATTTGCTGTATTTTTGATAATAGGCATTCTGACTGGTATGAGATGATATCTCATTGTGGCTTTGATTTGCATTTTCCTAATGATTACTGATGTTGAACATCTTTTCATGTCCCTTTTGAACATCTATATGTCTTCTCTGGAAAATGTTTATTACAATATTCTGCCAATTTTAAAATCAGGTTGCTTGTTTTTCTGATGTTGAGTTTCTATGAGTTCTTTGTATATTTTGGATATTAACACCTTATCAAATATATCATTTGTAAATATCTTCTTCCATTCATTGGTGGCCTTTTCATTTTGTTGATAGTTTCTTCTGCTGTGCAAAAGCTTTTTAGTTTGGTGTAGTCCCATTTATTTATTTTTGTTTTTGTTTCCCTTGACTGAGGAGACACATTCAAAAAATTTTTTTGCTAAGACTGATGTCAAAGATAGTATTGCCTATGTTTTCTAGAATTTTTATGGTTTCAGGTCTTACATTTAAGTCTTTAATGCATTTGGAATTTATTTTTGTGCATGGTATGTGAGAGTAGTTCAGTTTGATTCTTCTGCTAATAGCTGTCCATTTTTCCCAGCACCATCTATTGAAAAGGCTGTCTTTTCCCCATTGTATAATCTTGCCTCCTTTGTTGTAGACTAATTGCCCATATAACTGTGGGTTCATTTCTGGGATCTCTATTCTCTTCCATTGATCTGTGTATCTCTTTTTGTGCCAGTACCATACTGTTTAGATGACTGTACCTTTGTAGTGTAGTTTGAAATCATGGTGTGTGATACCTCCAGCTTTGTTCTTCTTGCTTAATATTGTTTTGGACATTCAGGGTTTTTTGTGTTTCCATACAAATTTGTCTCGTTTGTGCCAAATATTTTTGCTCAAAAGGAGAATTTGAAAAAGTTTCTGTTACTAAAGGCATATGATGCATTAGCAAATAAGATCTATGAGCAAAGCCATTTTAGACCACAAAAGGCCAAATCAAGTGGAATCTATCCTCTTTCACTTATTAAAGAAGTGTAATTGTGACTGAATTTAGTGTCATAATATTAAAATCTACGATAAAAGAGACTAAGCATGGTGAAGTACTAGGAAAATACTCTAAGTGAAAATTCCAGCAAGAATCATTAACTAACTTAGAGACTTCTTTCTATGATTATAATCTTTTCATTCATGCATCCACTCATTCATGCATTAACTTTTTCAACTAATGTTTAATGACCATCTATCTTATACGAACCCTGTATTAGGCATCAGAGGTAGCTTGGATAATAACATATCTGAACACCAGTTGTTCATTTTATTATGGGTAAAAGACATTAACAATTAACTACAATAATGATAGGGGAAGTGCAAAGATGATTTTGGAGTGAATTCTTAAAATTCACAAAAGAAAGTTTGTCCTTCTCATTGGCATTAGTTCTTAAATTTCCAAACTTCTGAATATGCTGATTAACCTTTTTCAAAGTGGTTATATAAAAACCAAATGGAATTATGTTAAAAACTCATCTTCCTTCAGACCCCAGGGAATATTCATTGGAGTGAGGTCTCACGGTGTTCCTCACCTCAGTACCAAGACCCAGCTCTACGCAATAGCCTACAAATCCCAGTGTTGGAAGCCTCAGGCCAAACAACCAGTAAGACAGGAACACAAGCCCATTCATTAAAAAAAAAAAAAAATGAGATGGCGAAAAATATGTCACAGATGAAGTAGCAAGGTAAAAACCTATAAGACCAAATAAATGAAGAGGAAATAGGCAACCTACCTGAAAAAGAATTCAGAGTAATGATAGTGAAGATGATCCAGAATCTCAGAAATAGAATGGAGGCATGGGTTAAGAAAATACAAGAAATGTTTAACAAAGATCTAGAACAACTAAAGAACAAACAAACAGAGATGAACAACACAATAACTGAAATAAAAAATACACTAGAAGGAATCAATAACAGAATAACGGAGGCAGAAGAACAAATAAGTGAGCTGGAAGGCAAAAGGGTGGAAATAACTGCCGAAAAACAGAATAAAGAAAAATAGACTGAAAAGAATTGAATACAATCTCAGAGACCTCTGGGACAACACTAAACACACCAACATTCAAATTATAGGGGTCCCAGAAGAAGAAGAGAAAAAGAAAGGGTCTGAGAAAATATTTGAAGAGATTATAGTTGAAAACTTCCCTAACATGGGAAAAGAAATAGTCACCCAAGTCTAGGAAGCACAGAGAGTCCCATATAGGATAAACCCTAGGAAAAACACACCAAGGCACATATTAATCAAACAAACAAAAATTAAATTCAAAGAAAAAATATTAAAAGCAGCAAGGGAAAAACAAAAAATAACATACAAAGGAATTCCCATAGGGTATCATGCTGATGTTTCAGTGGAAACTCTGCAGGCCAGAAGGGAGTGGCAGGATATACTTAAAGTGATGAAAGAGAAAAACCTACAACCAAGATTACTCTACCCAGCAAGGATCTCATTCAAATTCGATGGAAAAGTCAAAAGCTGTTCAGAAAAGTAAAAGCTAAGAGAATTTAGCACCACCAAACCAGCTTTACAACAAATGCTAAAGAAACTTCCCTAAGCGGGAAACACAACAGAAGAAAAA